AGTCTTCCTCAGCAAAAAAAGAGGAGGATTGGCATTGGATGTTAGCTCAGGGCTGGTCCTCCTCACAAAAAAAAAAAAAAAGAGAAAATAGAGGTTCAAAGAAGTTAAGAAACTTCCCAAACTCTAAGTAATGAAGGAGGCAAATTTGAACTTGGGCATTCTAGGGTCAGAGTCCATACCCTTAACTACTTTCCTCTATTACTTAGCTGTGGGAAGAAGAATTGTTTCTTCTTTTGACATTTCAGAGGTTGGTGGGAGGCTGAATGCAGAAAGAGAGATGTGTTCAAAGGAAGAGAAATGTACACATGAGCAGGGAAAAGGGGAGAAAAATGGGGCAGAGGAAGCAGGAAAGGCAGAAGTTAGGGTTTCTGGGAGACCCTCAGGTAAGTTCATGTCTGAGACCTGCTGGCATCACCATGTAGCATTTGTCCCTTTCTTGTGTGAAGCATGTGGGATTGATAGACTGTGACCAGTGTGACCCAATGTTTGAGTATGCCTTTCCCAAAAGACAAACTACACTGAGGGAGGAGAAAAGCTAACACCTACAAAATCTCTTGCTTAGAGCCTCTTTATTTAAAGATTATATTGGTTTATTTTCTTTCTTTCTAGGGTACAGAAACAAAAGAACACTTCAGTATTCTGAAAAAGCTGGTAGACTTAGATGGGGTCATATCATGGGATCCAAGATTCCTTCCCTGAATGACCACAATAAAAAAGTCAGAGAGCTCAGACTGGATCTGGCCATGCCCATAGGCATTTTATACAAGGCACATGCTATCCTCCTATTGTATGCTCCAATCACAAGAGAGCTACATCAGCTCAGAGCTCAGATTTATGGGACTTCCTCCAAAAGGACACAAAGGAGAATCCCAACTTCATGCAATGAGTTACAAGCATTGCAAGTGAATAACCAAATACCATAAACATTGTGTTTCGTGGGGAAGAAAGGAACAGGGAAAATCCTGTTGATTGGTCTCTGACTCTTGATGCTCTGATCTTTTTGTCTAATTGAAATGAAAACATGTAAGTGAGGCCGAGGACAGAAAGTGGAAGCAGCTCCCAGTTTTGGTCTATGCTAAGAGAGTTAGGCCAGGTTGAAGAGGTATGATGGTGTTTATGGGAGTGATAAAAAGTGAAGCTAGAGAGAGCAGTTGAGACTGATTCATCAAAAGTCTTAAAAGAAGTCTGCATTTTATCCTACAATAGTAAGCCAATGGAATCTTTAAAAACAGGAGAGTGGCATGGTCAGATTTGATTTAGGATAGTAACAAGTGGCAGAAAGGGGCTAGAGAGGTAGAGACAGGTGGCAAGGAGATTATTACAATGGTCCTTATTTCTCATGAAAAATGTGCCTGGAAAATGGGTTGAGTATATTTTACTTCTTAAATCTGTATTCCTAATTCTTACTGCTTATGGAAAGTCAAAACGCTTTTCACCAGTATGACAAGTTCTAAACCACAATGAAAATCAATAAAGAAATTTTAAGACACGGGTCTACTGTAGATATCAGGTTCAGCTTCCTATGCAATTTGTTCCCGAGTCAATTAAAAGCCATAATTGACACTAAGTGGCAAGTCAGGATCAAGAATTAATGTGTTCCCAGATTTGCATCTTGGTCTGAACTGGAATGAGGAATGGGGAATTACTAAATACTAAAATAAAGTTAGACACAGACTAATAGGATTTTAAAGGGCAAACACTGATACATAAGAAACATGTATAGCGTGTTCTGGATTCACGCCTCGGATCCTGAACATTATGGTGAAAGACCATCTTAGACATTCTGTAAATTGTTTTTTTTAATGTGCTTCCCCTACAGTTGTCCCTCAGCAGAAGCTCTGAGATCCCCTTTTTTCACCTACAGTAATGAAAGATAACCACGGGGTGGTGGCAAAGGTTAAAAAATATGAGTACTGCTGTTTTATTAATTATAAAAAACTTTAAAATAAAGAAGTCAGGCAAAGGGAAGAGAGAAGGAAAGCAATAAAATGATCATGGAAACTAATTAAGAAGATAACAAAATAAGTACCTTGCACAAATCATCCTTACCTGTGGGCAGAATTGCTTTCACAATCCTGGGAACAGTTAGCTGATTCTTCTGTTTTTTCGGTTTGGTTTATTTTCTTAGAATTAGTGTATTCTACAAGAAATGTTACATTTCTTTGTTTTCTACCAATGAAATGTGACTCTAAACCCCAGCCCCATTGGACTCACAGGAAATTATCTCATATATTCTGGGGTTCTTCCACTTGGTGATCTAATGCAGGATCAAGGTGTCACATCCCACCCCTCTGTGGTCATCTGTCCATAGTGATGGTTTTAGATCCACCACTCTGTGGCCTCCTTGTCATTCTTAGGGATAGGAATCTTTGACAAAGAACAAGTGGCTGGGCCTGGCATCCAGCCCTCCAGATCTTCCCTCTAAAGCTCCTGAGGAACCCACTGACATCTTTCTGCCCAGCCCGGAAGAATTGTTTTAGTCTGGGGAAATGTCTTAATCATTTAGTCGTTTTAGTCAGAACCCTTAGTTTCTTAGTTGGCTTTCTTCCTTCTCAAATTCTATTACTCTCCTAATTATTTATTCTTTTAAAATCAAAGGACAGGAAACTGCCCCAAACCTCCCTTGAAGTTTGATTATCAAGATTTTCTACATAGACAATCACATAATTTGTGAACAAAGACGGTTTTATTTCTTCCTTACCAATTTGTATACCTTTTATTTCCTTTTCTTGTGTTATTGCATTTGCTAGGACTTTCAGAACGATGTTGAACAGAAGTGGTTAGAAGGGACATCCTTGCCTTGTTCTGAATTTTAGGGGAAAGCATCTAGTCTCTCACCATTAGCATAATGTTAGCTGTAGGTTTTTTGTAGATGTTCTGTATCAACTTGAGGAAGACCTCCTGTATTCCTAGTTTGGTGAGAGTTTTTATCATGAATGGGTGTTGGATTTTTGTCAAATGCTTTTTCTGCGTATATTATGATCGTATGATTTTTTTTCTTTTGCCTGTTAATATGATGAATTACATTAATTGATTTTCAAATGTTGAATTAGCCTTGCATACCTGGAATAAATCCAACCTTTCATAGTGTCTAATTATTTTCATGCACTGTTGGATTTGATCTGCTAATATTTTGTTGAGGACTTTTTATTTTTGTTCATGAGAGAGTCTGTAATTTTCCTTTCCTATAATATTTTTCTCTGGTTTTGATGTTAAGATAAAGCTGGCCTCATAGGATGGGTTAGGAGGTATTCCCTCTGTTTCTATTTTCTAAAAGAGATTGTAGAGAATTGGTATCATTTCTTTTTTAAATGTTTGATAGAATTCACCAGTGAAACCATATAGACCTATTTTGATGATCTACTTCTTCATCTGGGAGTTTTGGTAGATTGTGTCTTTCAAAGAATTGGTCCAT